GCCATCACGGCCTTGTCCACTTCATCAGGGGTCACAGGCTCAAACTCGCTCCAGATAACATGACTAAGACCAGCCCCTGGCAACTCGGCTGGCACTGCCCAGTCAGAGTCCAGGTCTCTCTGAATCTGAGCGATTTTGTCTGAAAGAAACTGAACAAACTCCTCAGCTCTCCCCTGCAAGGGTTCCTCCGCCTCCTCCACTTGAAGAAGGGAGCGGGTCACCCTAAACAAGGCGGCCGGGCGAGATTCTGCGGACGCAATAAGTGCGGAAAAGTGAACACGCTTTGCCGCTCTTATCGCCACTAAATAAGGGCCCTCAAACCACTTTTTGGTTGAAATCACCTTGTCATTTTTCTCGCTTCTTGCAGGACAAGTTATATGTCTAAATAAATGTTGTTGTAACAGTATCTGTGTATATATGTTTGTCTGTGTTGTTCTGTGTCATTCCAAGACTTGGAAGAGGCTCAAAGCCCTCTCTGATAACAACAATATAAAAAGGCCTTGCTAAGAATATATGGTTTGCCTGGAGAAAGTATGAAATGAAATAATTGTATGTGGAATGGTTTTATGCAAACAGTCAGTATGGAACTGAATGAGTTAATTTGTTGAAGTGTGTGTTAGCCTTCAAAACCCACCCATTTTCTCCCTAACTGTGAAAATAATAGTAAATATTTGTATGAGAAGAATTTCATGGAGAATGTATGAGAGAATTTATTGCAAAATGCATAGGAAATAGATGAAACTACTTTTTGGTGGTGAGATTCCCCCCCCCCCTGTCTCTTTCGGCTGGCTGCGTTGCTTAAAAAAGCCAGAGACAGGAAGGAGGGGGGGGAACTGTTCGTTTAAAAAAAAAATTTTTTTTCCTCTGCTTGGAATTGTATCTGAAGAGTGGAGTGAATCTGAAACTTGACATTCACCTATGCAGTTTCGGCAAATAATTTTTTTGCTCAAAAGAGAAACAGTAATGTTGGACAATATTTTTTATATCCAACAACCAAAAGAACTAACTGAATTACATTGTTATAGATTTATACATATTTAACCTATTTATATACAAATTGTTTCCATCTGAATGGACTTTGCTTAAATTGAAGCACCAAAGATACAATTTAATTGGCTTTCAAAAAATATAAAATGATTTAGGATTGCAATAAGTCCCAGAAAAAATATAGTTGCACAAATTGATGGCATCATGAATACTCAATTTGTGGACAGAATTTCACACTTTTGATTTTTTCCTACTAGTAAATTACCTAATGGAGTATTAACTGTAATAGAAGTGCAGAAAGTATATTGAATTGAATAATATTTACCTACCACATCCCATCCCAAAATGTTTTATTTTTTATCCAGGTGGTTGCTAAAATGATAACCTTAGGACGCACAAGAGCTTGCCGTCGAAAAGGAACTGCTTAATTAATATAGTTTTCAAAAATAACTTATCTCTTTAATGCAGCGGTTCTCAACGTTTGTGTGACGGTGACCCCCACCACACAAACGTTATGCGCATGCGCGGCGCGGCGCGCATGGGGGCGGGGGCCCCTGCGCACGGCGCGCATGCACGGGGCCACCCCAGAGGCACGCCGCCGCCCCACGTGCGGCGCGCATGCGTGGCGCCACCCCCCAGAGGCACACCGCCGCCCCCACGCGCGGTGCGCGTGCGCGGCACCGCCCCCCCCGGAGGCGCGGCGCGCCCCCGGAGGTGACAAAATGGCGGATCGCCGCATTTGGCGACCCCACAAAAGAGGTCGATCGACCCCAAATGGGGTCGCGACCCATAGGTTGAGAACCGCTGCTTTAATGTGTTTTAAATGACTTTCATATCATTTGCCTAATGATCTTTGACTTGCTTGTTTAATGACTGTTTCCTTTCCAGTCCAGCCACTATTTTCTTCCTCTTTCTCCCTTGCCACAAGTTATTGCTTTTTCTGATGAAGGGTGAATGAGAGGAGCAATTGTTTACAAGGATGATACCTGGAAAGTGTCCTACACTGCAATGCAACCCTTATCACAATGCTCAGAATTATTTTAGCTTTTCAAACCTTTTCTCAACAGTCTTTTAACTTAATCTCTGACTCTCATTATGTGTGCCAACTTACTTTTACTTCTTCAGGTGCTTACATCACGCCCAGGATTGGCCCCAATCTTATGACCTTGTTTTTAACTTTGCATCAGCTGCTCCATAACTGAAAGCATTTATAATTTTGTTTCTCATAAACACAATCACTCCTCCCTTCCTGGGCCTATTTTTTTTTTTATGTCTTTTGTATGTTTTTTTTTGTATGTCTTTTATGTGGTTTTGCCTCTAATCAACTATGACAAATGGACATTATCCATGTTTTTTGGGGGGGGGCTTCCTAGAAATGTATATTCACAAATAGGTATTTAGGAACAATTTCCCCCACCTCTATGAGGGGAAACACATTCACATGTTATTTTTCATCTTTTTTGGACAATTTTATAAAACCTGAAATATTGTTTTTACTCATGGTCTTCTCTATAATTCCACGGGTCAAGCTATCGTGAAACGTGCTAATTGGTCTTTCAAAGACCAATTATTTCACAAACAAATAAAAAAGGACGGATTATCTAGGATACCCAATTTGTCGTGGGTAATACAACAGGTTCAAAAAGTATTATTTACATTACACCAATTGAATATTTCCATTCCAAATTTGACTGCTTATCAGAGACACTCTCAACAGAAAACAAGCTTGCCTCCACCTCTGGTATATTATCAGGCATTACCAGACAAAGCATGGTTGGGACCAGTCCCTCTGATCACTTGGGGGCGGGGCTATGCTGCTGTGCTTGCTCCAACAGGACCTTTGCGGATTCCAACGCACTGTGATCACCCAGCCAGGGATGTCGTTGCACCAGTCCCTGGACCCAGTCCCAGAAATGGCAAGGGTGACTCTACAGATGGCACAGCAAGTAATCCAATCCTGACATGCCAGGCAGCCAGTGACAAGGGGAGATGTAAAGAACTTGATCCCTGAGAACCTGTGTGCTGCCATTTTTGTGATTTTAACTGCAAATTTCTTATCCATCATTTGTTTATGTCTGATCGTTAACATCTGCCCTTTGACAACTGTAACTGTCATCCCACTCAAACAATCATTTGAACAACGAATGAAGCAAAATCTAACATCACACAAAATGACTTCTTTTGTTTATCTGAAATGTATTACATGTAATTTGTTTTCTATATGCTTAGTCTTTGTTTGCACCCCTTCTGCAGTAATTCAAAACTTCACTGACTCTGGGAGGTTATTGCTTAAAAAACCTCACTGTCATCGCATTGGCTCACCTGCTTTAAATTGCACAGCTTCAATAGAGACTTCCTTTCTTTTTGGACATGCTTGGCTACTGCAAGGAGGGTTTTTTACATGTGGTCAAGAAACTTTAAATTATATTCCTGCTAATATTAGTGAAGTGCAATGTTGCCTCAGCCAGCTGATTCCTGCTTTGCTTTCCAAACAACAAGTTCACATCAACCATTCTTCACGTGGTGTCACGCTAGACAACACTTGTGACTCTGAGACAACCTTACTTTGTAGCATTGGCTATATCTCTAGTGGGCGTGCCAGGACTTGCTGTTCATGCCCACCTCAACATTAATGCTATTACATGAAATTTGGCAAAGACAATTAATACTACTTCTTCAACTATTTCAGCGATCAACCATGAACTGCAAAATTTGAGAACTATTTTGCAAAATCACGCTGCAATTGATTATTTGCTTCTACACCAGCATTTCGATTGTAAACGTTTTGAGGAAATGTATTGTTTCAATATTTCTGATAATTCATGAACCATCCAGCACCAGATTTAAATTTTACACAATTTGGCCTTTGATTTGAAAATTGGTACCTTAGGATCTTTATGGGTGCTGTTTATGTAATGTATTTCTTTCATTTTGCAATATATGTATTAGAGCTTTAAATCCCAGTAGATCCTCTCTCACATTGCCTCAGGGTCAAGTTTTGGCCCTATATTAACAACTGCAAGGATGCTTCTCTCCTGATTATAATCCTTTTATTAACCCCGCTTATGGCGATATTTCATCTAACAAAACAAAAAGGAGTGAGATGTAGAGATGAGAGACAGGCGAAAGTCGTGTGCAGAAAACTGCGCCCCCCAACGATTGTGCCTTTGTTCTGCATCTATCTTCTCCCCCCCCTCACATCACCATGGTGATGTGAAAGTACGCAGGTCTGTGTGACCTTGCCAGTTTGATAAAGCTGGCTGGTGGAACAACAAGTTTCCCTGTTTATGGCCTCTAGCTTTTTACTCTTGAGGATTGGTAAAGGATTTTAGCCAATGAAATGCTGTTGCCATGCTGTGTCTTTTGCTATTTGTGAACCTCTATATAAACAATTAAAGGCTGCGTAGGGTGGCCATTTCTTTGCACCCTTCAATGACTAAGGAGTGATTACTACATTCTGTTCAGAACTTGTTTTCCTCTTTTCAGATATGGAAATTTGTGACAGTTGTCCTAAGGATCAATTTCCAAATGAAGCTCACAATGAGTGCATTCCAAAGAAAATTAATTTCCTTTCCTTTGAAGAACCACTGGGCATTACTCTACTGTCTCTGGCTCTTCTTTTTTCCCTGATTACAGCTTTCGTGTTTACAATCTTCATTAAGCAACGGGACACTCCCATTGTCAAAGCCAACAATCGCAACCTCACTTACCTTCTGCTTGTCTCTCTCTTTCTCTGTTTCCTCTGCTCACTTCTGTTCATTGGACAAACTAATAAGGCGATCTGCCTCCTCCGACAAACAACATTTGGCATCATCTTCTCTATTGCAATCTCTTCTGTATTGGCCAAAACTATCACAGTTGTTGTAGCATTCCTAGCATCAAAGCCAGGAAGTCTATTCCACAAATGGCTTGGTCAAAAGTTGGCCTATTCTATTATCTGGTTCTGCTCCTTCATTCAAGTTGGTATTTGTGCCATTTGGCTTGGTACTTCTCCCCCATTTCCAGATTTGGATATGGAGACATTCCTTGGAGAAATCATAGTGGAATGTCATGAAGGCTCCATCACCATGTTTTACTGTGTTTTGGGCTACATGGGCCTCTTGGCTATTCTCAGTTTCACTGTGGCCTTCCTAGCCAGGAAGTTGCCAGACAGTTTCAATGAAGCCAAGTTTATCACTTTCAGCATGTTGGTTTTCTGCAGTGTTTGGTTGACCTTTGTCCCCACATACCTGAGCACAAAGGGAAAGTACATGGTGGCTGTGGAGATCTTCTCTATCTTGTGTTCCGGTATTGGTTTACTGGGATGCATCTTCACTCCCAAAATCTATATAATTATATGGAAGCCTGAGCTCAACACTAGAGAACATTTAATACATAAGAAATAGAAAAAGAACAAGATTGAATTTTGAACAAGCAATTTGTCTGTGTGTGAGAGAGAGAGAGTGAGAGAGTTTGTGTGTGAGAGAGTAAATGTTTGTATACATATCCATGTTTGACTAAGTTTGTCTTTCACCTTAGAATTCTTTATGGATTGTGTGTTTTGGGGGGATTATGGCTATATTAATTTTCCATCAAGCAATTGTCCATATGATTTAATTAACTTTCTTCACTGGGATTTTTAACAGTGGTAAGAAAAATATTGGATCACTACCAAGATAGACATTAGGAAAAAAAGGCTGTGAACAAGCTTCAAAATTCATTAGATTCTTCAGTGGTTTTCTGTCTTCTTAAACACCATTGACTTTTGCCACCAAAGCTGATAATATAATCATTACCAAACTCTTTACATCACTGGCAGCCAAAGTGGAAGATGCATGGTTCCAGTTGAGCAATTATTTTAATGGGCAATTCTTGGTGCCATGAAGCTTTAAACTTTAAAGCTTTAAAAGAAATATTTCTTTTCCTAGGAGAAAGTAAGTATATTCAGATGAAACCTTTGCATTCGTGTGATTTTGTCAGATAGATTAGAAAGGGAGGAGATAGCATAGTGTGATGGCCAAAATTGGTCTCAGGTAAAGCAACCAAATCACTTTGAAGATACAACATATTTTTATTTATATGCATATAAGCAACAATATAGTATATTCTGGATCCTCAGCAAAGCTTTTAATACTTCTCTGAGCACATGTCAGCCAGAACTGATGAAATTGTTTTATGAAAAGCAAAACGTCTACTTCTTTCTGAAAGAAAAAAAACAGTCCAGTTGCTTTCTGAAAAAGCAACTTTGAGGCAACTGTGACCTGGATGGCTGAGAATCTCCACAGACATTTTAAAGTAACCCATTCATGTGCATAATACGAGGGAAATTCTGAAATAAACCTCCGTTTGAGCATGTGCGAGAAATAGGCAGGGATAGCGATGCCTGTGATTTGAGAACTATGTAATATTTATGGACCAAACATGATGAGTGAAGGTGTCATACATCAATGGTGTCACATGTTTAAAGATGGACGAACTGACATGCACAATGAGGCAATAAGTGGCCGCCCATCTGTAATCAGCAATGAACTCATTCAGAAAATTGACAAAAAGGTCTGTGAAGTCCATTGGTTTACAATATCTGCTCTTTCTTTACACTTTCCCCAAATTTCTCAGACTGTATTTTATGAGGTAGTGACAGAAAATTTGGGATAATGCAAGTTCTGTACTTGGTAGGTAACAAAACTCCTTTCTGAGGAGCACAAAACACACCAAATGGGTTCATGATCCTGTTGCAAGGGGGCTTCATTCCCAGGTGGGAGATTTTTTTGCAGAAGGAATTTCAAGCCTTGTAAGACATGACAAGTGCCTCAATTTGAATGGCAATTATGTTGAAAAGTTATGTAATGTTGTAGTTTTCTAATGTGTATAATAAAAGTTCTGTATCTGTGAGTGTCTGTCATTAATAACCAAAAGGAGGTTTATTTCCCAATTGCCCTCGTATTATTTAACCCTTCCTACTAGATCAGCATACTAGTCATACCATCTCTGCGATATGGTCAGTGAATAGAAAAAAATTAGTTTTCTGGGCTGCTGGTTCCTGATCAAGTCTTGTCCCTGTCACCACCCATGGTCAGTTTGTAGTGAACATTTTTTTTTACAAGGTACTTTCAGCAGTTTATATATATTGGGGACATCTCATACATTTGGTAGTGAATATGACCATTTTACTACCACAAAATGCTAAAAATTAGGAATCTAAAATTGGCCTCTCTGTGTGTGTTTGTGTGTGAGAGAGACTGATTGATTGGTTGATTCATTCATTCATTCATTCGTTTGTTCATTTATTCATTTAGAGAAAATATATGGCCACAGATTTCATATACATAGTATAACTCTGACCTCAATCCCCAAGAGCAAGTAGAAAAAGGTTTCTGTGGCACTTCACAAACATATTTGCTCTGGCATTTCTACTAGTAAAATTACCATCTCTCCAATTATCACAGACATGATGATTAAGTCACCAGGTCAATCCTCCAAAGGCTTTCAAAATGCTTCTGAAGGAATTATCAGGGCAAATCTCAGAATAGATATATATTTTCCAATATATTGTCTTCCCTGCTAAGGGCCATTCCTCAAAACTGGTTGAAGGGTTCCCCAGCAATGACAGGGTCAATATAAGAACTGCTGCCATAAATTTGGATTCTCAGAATATGGTATCTATTTGCTGTTCACAGCATAAATACTGTATATAGTTCTTGCAAATCTGGGGCTAATATTTTTAGACTGTTGATCAACCAAAGCCTAGTCGATTCCAATGCTGAAAGATTCTCCCAGATTTCTCTATGTGAAACCAACTACATTACTCTACACATGTGAAATATACACTGACCACCATCTTAGAGTACTTCTACAAGACCATTGACATTCTGCTAAAGCTTCATAGCTGGTGCTCTTTTTAACTGCAAATGAAAAAAAGAGGCTGATAATTAGATGGTAGACTCAATAGGCAAATCTGTCCTTTACACTTCAAGCATCCAAACATAAGTGAGGCTGAAGAAAATGGATCAGATCAGTGAATGAGACATAAGATATTCTTAAAACAGATCTCAACAAAGGTATCAGTTGTTTCACTATCTATAGTATCGTGCTTGTATCACAGCTGTTGGCAATAGCAACATAGGATAGACCAAATTAGCAGGAATGTTGAATATTATTGCCTTATTACTATTTCCAGAATTGGCCGTGAAGGTGCAACCTCTTAAGTGCACTGGAGATGAAGCCATTCAAATTCCACAGGAATGGCACCAGGACGGAGACCTTCTCATTGGTGGATTGATGTCTCATGTTCACTACTTGTTCCCCAGAGTTATTTTTGATAAACATCCTTCTGAAGAATTGATTGACTTCCCACTGTAAGAAATTACTATCTTAACTTATTTTAATCTAATGTTGCTCTCTTTTTCCAACTTTGTAAAACAGAGAAGTTCCATCATACTCTGTTAATAAGTATCAATGTATCATGGACATATCCTTAACAGCAGTTTGGTAATTTTTTGTTAATTATTTGCTAATCCAACATCCTATTTTCTAATTAAGCCCAGGACAAGCAGATATTCTGTTGGGAACTGAAACCTCTTCCAACAGAGGAAAAAGAACCAGCCCTAATTCACCATAACATAAAAGGCACTATAATGTTTTAACTATAGACATTGACTGTGGAATGAAAAATCATTTCCAAAATCTTGGGGAGGCACTAGTTATTTATACTGTGTCTCTATCTTTTCATATATTAATTAGGTGTTTGTGGTCCACCTATCCTATTTCAAAAGATCACAGCCTTTCAAAGAAAAATGCAAAACTGAAACACAAAACTTTATACAAGTAGGAACTATGGCCTCTTCTACTCACTATCTCCTCTTAAGAGCAGAAAGAGTTCATGGGGGAAGGAAAAATGAATTTCTAAATATTTGGTTATGTTCATCAGCTCTATGTTCCTCATCACTGAAATCCCCCTTTAATATTTACTAATAAATTTGTTCCACTCAGCTCAGATTCTCATTAAAAAATAAATAAACCCATTTTGTTTTTCCAGCTTGGTAACCTGTCTTCTCTTCAGAGTTTTGGGGTTAATTTAATAATTACTGCTATCCATTATTTTGTTTAAAATATAGGAGCAAAATGTTTAGTTTTTACAACAATAAATACCCTTAAGCTGATTGTACAGAAGTATTTTCATTATAAGATGGAAATTTTAACAGAATAATAGAATCACATAGTGGGAAGGAGCCTTAAAGATCTTCTAATCCAGCTCAGGCATGAAGTAATTTGTGTGCTATTATAGAACTGGTTGAAAGTTTATAAAGGACCAAAACTTGCATGAAAAGCTTAACATGAATATAGTCTCTCTTTTTTAAGGGCAGGAAAAATGGGATTTCTTCAACAGATCTCTTCTACATGACAACTATTCACATACAGTATTTCTGGAATGTTATCCTGCCTTCCTTCTCTAAAGTTTTTCATGGTTCCTCCAATTATTCCAAGAGAATGCAACCATGTCCTTTAAAATTTCTGGGTATATAAGTTATCCATTGCAACCTTCCTGGGTTATCAATTTAAATATCTCTTAAAGGATACAATTAAACAAAAGACTTAATGTAGGAGAGGAACTTTGAATCATAAAACTGTGAATTTCAGCATATTTCTCTTCTCAATATGTGTTTCTCATAATATTTTTGACATTGGTTATCTCTTTCTAACTATATAATGCATGGCACAATTCTCTTTTGAAGAAAGTCACTTTATTTACAGTGTGATAACTAAGTTCTACCAACACGTCTTGGCTTTAGTGTTTGCTGTGAAAGAAATCAACAAGGATCCTCACATCTTGCCCAACTTCACTCTTGGATTCCACATCTATGACAGCTACTCCAATGCACTAATGACCTATCGTACCACTCTGGACCTGCTTTTTAAGTTGCATAAAATTGTCCCCAACTATATTTGTGGAACTGAAAAGAAAGTTATGGGAATCATTGGAGGGATGAGTCCTGAAACATCCATACGCATGGCAGAAATTTTGCAGCTTTTCAAGATCCCACAGGTTGGACCAATAAATAAAGATCTCAAAATTACAACAATCATACAGATGGTCTCCTCTTGATTTCCCCTTTAAGAAGCAGCTTGATGGTATATCAGTAAAGAGATGTAAAGAAATTAGGGTAAAGAGAAGTAAAGTAATTAGGATAAAGTGTGGACTTGGATTAATCCATGTTTCTCTTCAGTATATCGCTTCTTCCAGTAAGATGAATCGAAACATACAGAATTTTAGTGCATAGTTGTTGGAATTTGCAGGGATATGCTAGCTGTCATTAACTGCCTCATTATTATCAATTTATATATTTTAAACATAACGTACACAAACATTTGGATTTTATAAAATGTGGAGGACAATACGTGGAAGAAATGTTGACCTAGGAAGAACTAAAGATTTGATTCTTTAAATTCAAATACTTACGTTATCTTCAAGAAGAAGACTTGAGATTATGATAAAGATGATGATGATGATGATGTTAGATAGATAGATAGATAGATAGATAGATAGATAGATAGATAGATAGATAGACAGACAGACAGACAGACAGACATATAAGATTCAAAAAGAATATCTCCCTTTTGGGGAGATCTCTAAACCAAATCTATGTATTAAACAACCATATTTTGAAAAATAAAGTGGTTTAAATCAATTAAAATGGAATATACCCATCCATACATTCTCTTTCCGTATAATTCTCTCTTTCTCTTATTCCTTCTTTCTTTCTTTTAGATTTCATATGGCTCATTTCAAATGGTAGTGACTGCTGAATCACGTTTCCCCCCTTTTTATCGCATGGCCCCTGATGAAGCTCTCCAGTATGAGGGTTTAATTCAGCTCCTCCTGTATTTTGGATGGCAGTGGGTAGGACTTGTCATTGTAGATGACAAACATGGAGAACATTTCATACAAACTCTGGAACCCATGCTCTCGCAAAATAAAATCTGCTCTGAATTTACTGAAAGGGTTGAGAGAAATTTACATTCTTCCGAAGTATTTGACTTGGTTGAACAATGTTTGAGGCACATTACTTTGTTCACAGAGAAAAGAGCAAATGCAGTTATTATACATGGGGAAAATACAGTCTTTATGTGGCTGGCCTCTATTCTACTAGGAATCCCATTTTTTTTTCCAACGTCTTTTGATTCTACACAGAAAGTTTCCACACGAAAAGTGTGGATTACAATGGCACAAAATGATTTCACATTACATTCCTTCCAAAGGAAGTTTGATATGCAACTATTCCATGGGGCCATTTCCTTCTCAGTTAGCAAAAAGGAACTTCCAGGTTTCCAACCATATATACAGACTGTCGCCCCTTCTGGGGCAAATCAAGATGGCTTTATGAATGATTTTTGGAACCAAGCTTTTAGCTGCTCAATACCAAACAAAGGTACTTCTGGAGATGGGGAGTGTACTGGAGAAGAAAGACTGGAGAACCTTCTTGCACCCTTCTTTGAAACCAGCATACTTGGCCATAGTTACAGTATCTATAATGCTGTCTATGCTGTGGCTCAAGCATTACATGCTGCTCAAACAGAACATATGAAGACTGATCAGAACATACAAAGGGGCAGGGATCAAGTGCGATCAAAGATTGTAGAATCCTGGCAGGTAAGATTTTCTCTTTCTCAATGCTCTTTTGAAATGTTCTCCTTGGTTACAACAGAGTGCCAGGACTTAATGAGTCAACAGATCATTATAGACCAGCTATCTAAACATCACTGATGTTTATCTTTCTTCAAGATTAATACATTACAAATATTGATCCACTGAAGGTATTGTCCTTTGCCTACATATCTCAGCTTTTTCCTTCTTTCACACCAACAAAATTGGTCTTTAACATACTTCTGCCTTTCTACTTCTCTGCAGTAATTTTCTTCCATTAGCTTCTTCTTGCTCTTTTCAAACTACCTTTCTCAATTGTCACTAAAGAAAACCAACATATTTTAGTCTGTTAGGTGGACTATGGTCCAGTATAAAAATGAGACTGTTTCAGTCCTCTTTATTCTCAGGGAAGAAATTGTCCAAATTTTAAAAAGGCTGTTTTTGGGGGCCCTTTAGGAAACTTATCTGTTTCCCTTTAACTCTTATGCTTTTTCTTCTGCAAGCTCCATTCGTTTCTGCAGAGAATTTCCTTCAACAACAATGCTGGAGATGAAATTAAATTAAATGAAGATGGAGCACTAGATGCTGGATTTGACATTGTAAATTTGGTTACTTTCCCAAACAACTCCTATATCAACATCCCAGTTGGAGAAATAGATCCGCATGCTCCTCCTGGAGAATCCTTCCTTATTCATCAAGACAAAATCCAGTGGCATCATGGATTCACTCAGGTATCATAACAATAGCATGGGCTCTGTATGGGAGATCAGTGGTCTAAAATGTGTGGGGGGAGTATAGACAGACAGACAAACAAAGAGATGACAGATGGATAATATATACCATGTTTCCCCAAAAGTAAGACCTACCCTGAAAATAAACCCTTGTTTTGGGGAGAGGTGCATGCTTAAAAATCAAGCCAGGGCAGCAGTGGAGGATGCAGCTGCCCCACGGACCCCGCACCCACTTACCAGGGCTCTCATGAATCAACACCTGCCTCTCCTTGCCAGCCCCCTTCTTCTGCGTTGTTTCCCAGTCTGCAATTCGCACTCAGAGGCCTTTCCGGAAGGCCACTGCAGCTGAGAATTGAGCTATGGATTTCCATAGCTCAGTTCTCTGCTGCAGTGGCCTTCCAGAAAGGCCTTTGACTGTGAAATGCAGGCTGGAGTTCCAATCTCAGCAGGAAATAAGAGCTGGTGCCTCTTTTGGAAGCAAAAAAAAAAAATAAGACAGGTTCTTATTTGAGGGGAAACACAGTAGTCACTCTGGGTAGTTTAAAGATTGTTAAAAGAATTTAAAAACAAGAAAAAATATAAAGAAACAAGAACAACACAAAATCACAGACTTGATAGAGAGAATGCACCAGATCGAAACAAGGGGAGAAAAAAGGAAGGAGCATCAATCAACTTTGCCACCTTTGAAACAGACTAGAGTTCGAATTTGGGAGGTGCCACATTCAAAAAGGCAGATGCTGCTAAAGAGGCTTTCAGGCTCCCTATAAATGATCATTTAATTCAGTGGTTCTCAACCTGTGGGTCAGGACCCCATTTGGGGTCGAACGACCATTTCACGGGGGTCACCAAACAACGCAGTCTGCCATTTTTTCCCCTTTTCCTTAGCTGTGCTACTCCCTTTTATTCTATTGGCTTTTGAAAGCCAATAGGAATTGTCCAGGCTGTCTCTGCCCTGCTGAGCCCGCCAAAAGTCCCATTCTGCAAACAGTGCTGCACCAGTTGAATAGTCCTCGACTTACGACCGGTTGAGTAGTCCTCAACTTACGACCGGTTGGGGGTCGCGGCATTAAAAAGGTTGAGAACCACTGATTTAATTGATGGGGCCTGAAGTGAGCCAATCCTATTAGATCGATCCAGCCAAACAAATACTATGTGGGACAGGAAGTACATCATATAACCAGGCCATATGTCTTCTTGGGTTTTAGAGGTAGTAACCAGCACCTTGAACGGAGAATAAAGGGGAAAATAATCCAGGCTCTGTTCCAGGTTCTGGCAATATTTTCAAAGTTAAATTGTCTGTTACATGGCAGAAATAATTATCAAGAGTCCTGATCTTATTCATTGGCTGTAAGACAAAAACATGAACAAAACATTAATACTGACTTCTTTATTTGGGGACAGCTGCCTCCTCTCTCATTATGTAATGACCCTTGTCCTCTTGGAAAAAGAAAGAACAAGATCGAAGGATGGAAATTTTGCTGCTACACTTGTGCTCCGTGTCCAGAAAAGATGATATCCACACAAATGGGTAAGACTCATGGCATCCCAACAGACACAGGTCTGAAAGCCTATATCCCAGTTTAAAAAAAAAATCCTCAACATTATTTCTTGCTGTATTGATGCAGCACAAATGAGGAAAAGGAAGAGACATCAGTGATGTCCTCAACCCCATCTTTCTATCCTTGAAGTTGAGTCTAATCCAAATGATAAGGCACCTCACATAAAGGAAGCAGCAATCAAGTAGTACAGTTCCAGTTGTCCTATCCCAGACATGTCAAACTCGCAACGGCACGTAACATTGCACAACATATCAAAGCTTTTTTGCCATTGCCAGCAATGAGGTGGGTGTGGTTTCCCAATGATGCGTCTGGACCACAAGCCGGCAGTTTGATACCCCTGTCCTATCCTCTAGTGCAGGGATCCACAACCCATGGGCCATGGCCCACTATCAAGTCATGGCCTATTCAGAATTTGGCTGCACAAGTGCCTGGCTGGAGTGCATGCATAAGCAGATCAAATTGCACCAGTGACAAACCAATGGGCACTTAAGAGTGTGTAGCTCAACTTGCGCAAGTGGTGGGCCAACAGGCACTCACATGCACGCATGTAGGCCTACCATTTGTGCAGGTCAAGCTGCATACATGCGCATTGCCCAATTCCTACTCCAGTCCAGTTCCGGTCTTCCCTCCCACCAACTGGGCTACCAAGTCATAAAGGTTGGAGACCACTGCTCTGTTGTTACTGCAGGTTTTTCAGGATCTAAAGTTTCAAACATATCCTTTCTCTTTCCTACTAGAAAGTGAGACATGCTGTTCTATTGTTCAGAAATGCTATAAAACCTAATGCACTCCAAAAAGCCAAGAACATTGAAATGTAGAAAAAATCTAAATAGTGTTTCTCTATTTTTAAAATGTAGGTTGAATACAGAATTACAAAACAATTTAGGAAACACTTAGATTGCAGGGAAAACCTGAAAAGCAACTCTGAAACTTTTAAAAAGTTTGAGTCTGCTCAGAAACTCTTTCCTTTTTTTCAGACATGGAGAATTGTGACAGTTGTTCAGAAGATGAATTTCCAAACCAAGCTCACAACAAGTGCATTCCAAAGACACTGAATTACCTCTCCTTCAAAGAGCCACTGGGCATTACTCTAGTATCTCTGGCTCTTTTCCTTTCCTTCTGCACAGGTCTTGTACTTGCAATTTTCATTAAGCAATGGAACACTCCCATTGTCAAAGCCAACAATCGCAACCTCACCTATATTCTACTTATCTCCCTCTTTCTCTGCTTTCTTTGCTCACTTCTGTTCATTGGACAAACCAATAGGGCAATTTGTTTCCTTCAACAAACAACATTTGGCATCATCTTCTCTATTGCAATCTCTTCTCTATTGGCTAAAACTATCACAGTTGTTGTAGCATTCCTAGCATCAAAGCCAGGAAGCCTATTCCACAAATGGATGGGGCAAAAATTGGCCTATTCTATTATCTGCTTCTGCTCCTTCATTCAAGCTGGTATTTGTGCCATCTGGCTGAGTACTTCTCCCCCATTTCCAGATTTCGACATGGAGACACTCCTTGAAGAAATCATCGTACAATGTCATGAAGGCTCCATCACCATGTTTTACTGTGTCTTAGGCTACATGGGCCTCTTGGCTCTTCTCAGCTTCACTGTGGCCTTCCTAGCCAGGAAGTTACCAGACAGTTTCAATGAAGCCAGGTTTATCACTTTCAGCATGTTGGTTTTCTGCAGTGTTTGGTTGACCTTTGTCCCCACCTACCTGAGTACCAAAGGGAAGTACATGGTGGCCGTGGAGATTTTCTCTATCTTGTCTTCTGGTGGTGGTTTACTGGGATGCATTTTCATCCCCAAAATCTATATAATTATATGGAGGCCTGATCTCAACACTAGAGAGCATTTAGTACAAAAGAAATAAAAAAGGAATAAGATGGAATTTTGAACAAGAAAATACTACTTGGATTTTTCTGTTTGTGGGTTTGTGTATACATACATACTTGAATGAATTTGTCTTTCACCTTAGTATTCTTGAGAATTGTGTGTTTTTTGCAGGATTGGGCTGTATTAATTTTTCAGCAAGCAGTTTTCCATATGATTAATTTAATTTTCCATAGTAGTAACATAATAACTGGGTTAATATCAAGACAGACATTAGAAGGAACACAGAGAACAAAACTCAAGGTTCTTTGAAGGTTGTTTACTTATTTCCCCACCCCTTAAAAACCACTAATAAATTGACTTTTGCCACCATAGGCCGGCAATTTGAGGTCATTATGAAACTTTATATCATTCCCAACAAAATTGGGAGAAGCATGGAACTACCTGAGCAATTCTTTTAATTGGAAATTCTTGATGTCATGAAGCTTTAAATATACATAAGGAAGTATTTTTTGCCTGAGTGAAAACAAGTATATCCAAATGAAATCCTTGCCTTTTTATGGTTTTGTCAGGAAGATTAGAAAAGGAGGAGATAGCGTAGAGTGGTGGCCAAATTTGGGCTCAGGTAAAGCTACCAAATCACTTTGAAGATACAACATTATTTTATTTACATGAATGCAAGCAATAATATAGTATATATTCTGGATCCCCAGCAAATCTTTTGATACTTTGCTAAGCACACATAAGCAGAAGCAAACCTGGGCTTATACAGATTTGCATTCATAAAGGTAAGACAAAGGAAAAGGCTGACGCAGAAGAAGTTATAGGTGACACTGGAAGATTTTAAAGAAAGACTGTTTCTCCCCACCATCCAGCAAGAACTGATGAAACTTCTTAGATGAGAAGCAAAACGTCTTCTTCGTCAAAGAAAAAAAAACAGTCCAGTTGCTTTTTCAAAAAGCAACTTTCAGACAATTATGACCTGGATGACAGAATGTCCACAGACATTTTAAAGAAACCCATCCATGTGCATAATATTATTTATCCCTTCCTACTCTTAGTCATATTATCTTTGGGATATAGTCAGTGAATAGAAACAATTTGGTTTTCTGGGCCAAAGTTTCCTGACTGAGCCTTGTCCCTGTCACCACCCTGGGTCAATCCAGCTTGTTGTGAATGTTTTCCTACAAGGCACTTTCCACAGTGCATATATACTGGGGGCATCTTAGACATTTTTTAATGAATGCAACCATTTTACTACACAATATGTGAAAGTTTAGGAGCCTAATACTTGACACTGGGTGTCTGTGTGTTTTTGTGTGAGATTGATTGATTGATTCATTGATTTGATTTGATTTGATTTGATTGATTGATTTAGAGAAAATATATGGCCACAGATTTCATATATATAGTATAATTCTGTCCTCAATACCCAAGTCCATGGCATTTCATAAACATGTTTGCTCCAGAATTTCTACTAATAAAATTACCATCTCTCCAGTTATCACAGACATGATGATTAAGTCACCAGGTCAGTCCTCTAATGGCTCTCAAGATGCTTCTGAAGGAACTATCAGGGACAAATCCCAGAACACACATATATTTTCTCATATATTGTTCCTCAAAACTGAAGCGCTCCCTAGCCACAACAGGGTCAATATGAGTACTGCTGCCATAAATTTGGGTTCTCAGAATTTGCAACCTGTTTACTATTCATAACATAAATATATAGTTCTTGTGGATTTGGGACTAATATTTTTAGACTGTTGGATCAACTAAAGCCTAGTCGATTCCAAAGTGGACAGATTTTCCCAGATTTCTCTATGGGAAACTAGCTACATTACTCAACACATGTGAAATATAAACTGATCACCATCTTGGAGTAATTCTACAAGACCATTGACATTCTGTTTCACAGAATTTCACAGCTGGTGCTCTTTTAAATTGCAAATGAAAAAAGGGCCTAATAATTAGGCAGTAGTCTCAAAGGGCAACTCTGTCCTTTACACCTCAAGAATCCAGACATAAGTGAGGCTGAAGAAAATGGATCAGATCAATGAATGTAGCATGCAGTATTCTTAAGACAGATCTCAACAAAGGTAGCAGTTGTTTCACTATCTATAGTATCGTGTTTAAATCAAGACTGCTGGTAACAGCAATACAGGAGAAGCCAGATGAGTAGGAATGTTGGGTATTATTGCCTTATTACTATTTCCAGAACTAGCCATGAAGGTACAACCTCTTAAGTGCACTGGAGATGAAGCCATTCAAATTCCACAGGAATGGCACCAGGACGGAGACCTTCTCATTGGTGCATTGATGTCTCATCTTCACTACATATTCCCCAAAGTTATTTTTGATAAACATCCTTCTGAAGAATTGGTTGACTTCCCATTGTAAGAAATCACTCTCTTAGCTTATTTTAATCTAATCCTTCCCTGTTCTTTCCATCTCTGTAAAACAAAGAGGTTCCATCATCCTCTATTAATGATTATAAATGTATGATGGACATATCCTTAACAGCAGCTTGGTAATTAGAAATTATTTGTTAATTCAACATCTAATTTTCTAATTAAACCAAAAGCCAATAGACCAGGACAAGCAGATATATTGTTGAGAACTGAAACCTTTTCCAACTTGGATGTAAAAGAACCAGCCCTAATTCACCATAACATAAAAGGCACTATAATATTTTAAATATGGACATTGACTGTGGAATAAAGAGTCATTTCCAAAACCTTGGGGTGGCACTAGTTATTAATACCATGTCTCTATTTTTTCATGTATTAATTAGATGTTAGTGGTCCAGCGGTCCTATTTCAAAAAATTGTACAGGTATTATTTTCATTACAAAGATGAATATTTTAACCAAATAACAGAATCACATAGTTGGAATGGACATTGAAGGTCATCTAGTCCAGCAACCTGCTCAGGCAGAAACTCCTTTTTCTGCCATTATAGAATTAATGAAGATTTATAAAGACCAAAACTTGCATGGAAAGTTTAACATGAATATAGTCTCTCCTTTTTAAGGGCAGGAAAAATGGGATTTCTTCCATAGATCTCTTCTACATGACAACTATTCACATATTTCTTGAATATTATCCTGTCTTCCTTCTCTAAAGTTTTTCATGGTTCCTCCAATTATTCCAAGAGAATGCAACTATGTCCTTTAAAATTTCTGGGTATATAAGTTATCCATTGCAACCTTTCTGGGTTATCAATTTAAATATCTGTTAAGGGATACAATTAAACAAAAGACTTAATGTAGGAGATGAACCTTGAGTAATAAAACTGTGAATTTCAGCATATTTCTCTTGTCAATGTGTGTTTCTCGTAATATTTTTGACATTGTTTATCTCTTTCTAACTATATAATGCATGGCGCAGTTCTCTTTTGAAACAAGTTACTTTTTTTACAGTGTAATAACCAAGTTTTACCAACATGTCTTGGCTTTAGTGTTTGCTGTGAAAGAAATCAACAAGGATCCTCACATCTTGCCCAACTTCACTCTTGGATTCCACATCTATGACAGCTACTCCAATGCACTAATGACCTATCGTGCCATTCTGGACCTGCTTTTTAAGTTGCATAAAATTGTCCCCAACTATATTTGTGGAACTGAAAAGAAAGTTATGGGAATCATTGGAGGGATGAGTCCTGAAACATCCATACGCATGGCAGAAATTTTGCAGCTTTTCAAGATCCCACAGGTTGGACCAATAAATAAAGATCTCAAAATTACAACAATCATACAGATGGTCTCCTCTTGATTTCCCCTTCAAGAAGCAGCTTGATGGTATATCAGTAAAGAGATGTAAAGAAATTAGAGTAAAGAGAAGTAAAGTAATTAGGATAAAGTGCGGACTTGGATTAATCCATGTTTCTCTTCAGTATATCGCTTCTTCCAGTAAGATGAATCGAAACATACAGAATTTTAGTGCATAGTTGTTGGAATTTGCAGGGATATGCTAGCTGTCATTCACTGCCTCATTATTATCAATTTATATATTTTAAGCATAATGTGCACAAACATTTGGATTTTATAAAATGTGGAGGACAATACGTGGAAGAAATGTTGACCTAGGAAGAACTAAAGATTTGATTCTTTAAATTCAAATACTTACGACATCTTCAAGAAGAAGGCTTGAGATGATGATAAAGATGATGATGATGATGATGATGATGATGTTAGATAGATAGATAGATAGATAGATAGATAGATAGATAGATAGATAGATAGATAGATAGATAGATAGACAGATAAGATTCAAAAAGAATATCTCCCTTTTGGGGAGGTCTCTAAACCAAATCTATGTATTAAACAACCATATTTTGAAAAATAAAGTGGTTTAAATCAATTAAAATGGAATATATCCATCCATACATTCTCTTTCTGTATAATTCTCTCTTTCTCTTATTCCTTCTTTCTTTCTTTTAGATTTCATATGGCTCATTTCAAATGGTAGTGACTGCTGAATCACGTTTCCCCCCTTTTTATCGCATGGCCCCTGATGAAGCTCTCCAGTATGAGGGTTTAATTCAGCTCCTCCTGTATTTTGGATGGCAGTGGGTAGGACTTGTCATTGTAGATGACAAACATGGAGAACATTTCATACAGACTCTGGAACCCATGCTCTCGCAAAATAAAATCTGCTCTGAATTTACTGAAAGGGTTGAGAGAAATTTACAATCTTCCGAAGTATTTGACTTGGTTGAACAATGTTTGAGGCACATTACTTTGTTCACAGAGAAAAGAGCAAATGCAGTTATTATACATGGGGAAAATACAGTCTTTATGTGGCTGGCCTCTATTCTACTAGGAATCCCATTTTTTTTTCCAACGTCTTTTGATTCTACACAGAAAGTTTCCACACAAAAAGTGTGGATTACAATGGCACAAAATGATTTCACATTACATTCCTTCCAAAGGAAGTTTGATATGCAACTATTCCATGGGGCCATTTCCTTCTCAGTTAGCAAAAAGGAACTTCCAGGTTTCCAACCATATATACAGACTGTCACCCCTTCTGGGGCAAATCAAGATGGCTTTATGAATGATTTTTGGAACCAAGCTTTTAGCTGCTCAATACCAAACAAAGGTACTTCTGGAGATGGGGGGTGTACTGGAGAAGAAAGACTGGAGAACCTTCTTGCACCCTTCTTTGAAACCAGCATACTTGGCCATAGTTACAGTATCTATAATGCTGTCTATGCTGTGGCTCAAGCATTACATGCTGCTCAAACAGAACATATGAAGACTGATCAGAACATACAAAGGGGCAGGGATCAAGTGCGATCAAAGATTGTAGAATCCTGGCAGGTAAGATTTTCTCTTTCTCAATGCTCTTTTGAAATGTTCTCCTTGGTTACAACAGAGTGCCAGGACTTAATGAGTCAACAGATCATTATAGACCAGCTATCTAAACATCACTGATGTTTATCTTTCTTTAAGATTAATACATTACAAATATTGATCCACTGAAGGTATTGTCCTTTGCCTACATATCTCAGCTTTTTCCTTCTTTCACACCAACAAAATTGGTCTTTAACATACTTCTGCCTTTCTACTTCTCTGCAGTAATTTTCTTCCATTAGCTTCTTCTTGCTCTTTTCAAACTACCTTTCTCAATTGTCACTGAAGAAAACCAACATATTTTAGTCTGTTAGGTAGACTATGGTCCAGTATAAAAATGAGACTGTTTCAGTCCTCTTTATTCTCAGGGAAGAAATTGTCCAAATTTTAAAAAGGCTGTTTTTTGGGGCCCTTTAGGAAACTTATCTGTTTCCCTTTAACTCTTATGCTTTTTCTTCTGCAAGCTCCATTCATTTCTGCAGAGAATTTCCTTCAACAACAATGCTGGAGATGAAATTAAATTAAATGAAGATGGAGCACTAGATGCTGGATTTGACATTGTAAAT